AGGTGCTTGCACTTGTGAAATAAAACCACAGGGCGGATTTGAAGAAGGCAGAGCTCTGCTATGCCCAGCTTAGCTCTGCTGGATTGCCTGGTCTTCCTGGTTGGTGGGTGCCAGCTGAGACCAAGGCACCCAGTCTGAGAACAGCTGCATCCACTTCCCAGTCAGCCTGCCCCACGTGCCCTGGGAGCCCTGAGCTGCCCCCTGCTTCAGTGGGCTGAAGACTTCTTCGTGAGTATGATGCCCACCTGTCCTTTCTCTTTTCTTGGAATTTTTCAGACTAGATATTCAGCTGGGCTTTTAAAAATCCCCTTTTTCCTTCATCGCCTCCCCCAAAAGCTAGTGAATCTGGAAGATCCCAGGTAAAGCCAGTAGGAACCCTCAGACACTGGCAGAAAAAGATTTGGATAGCTGCTCAGACATAAAACACCTGTTACATCTCACAGTTATCTCCTTGCCTGGGATCGATCTGGAAGGGACCGATCTGAGGTTTCTGCTGCAGAAACCTGTCACTGGAAACTCTCAGAGTCTAATGGATTCTGGGAAAGCACCACAGATGACACACATTCCCAGGGACCTTTGAGCTCGGAGCTAGGCATCTGTGGTGGGGAGGAGGGAAAATCCAAGAGCAGGGGGTGAGTGAGGAAGAATGGAACCCCGCAGCTAGCTGTGGGTTTCTTGTCGTGACTGTAGGAGGGAAGACCAGGCAGGGGACTGGCAGAGTCTAGACGCAAAGCCCTGGGGCCGAGTCAGGACACTTCCTAAACTTCAAAGTCAGGATTTCAAATAGTACCAGACCCTAAGAGAGATGCTGATTTTTTTTAGCTGATGCCTAATGTGCTTCTGTAATCAAACCTAGAACTGAAACTGCTCAGATCAGCCAGCAGAGGCTGTAAATGAAAGAGGCCCAGGGGACAAGCACTGCAGACATTTTACTGAATGTCACAGTCCCTCTGGTTTTGTGCTCAGCACCGCAAAGCTCAAGCACAGACAGGCCAGCTTTTGTTTATCATTTCGTTCCTGGAGGACTTGAAGGCAAGAGAATTTGTAGAATCTGGGGTTGGGCAACACTCCTGGAGTGTGGGAAGGCTGGACGTTCAGGGGTGGACACACAGAGGGGGAAGCTCTGGGGCAGAAGGGCAGGAACGTTGGCTTCACATCTGCAGGCGTTGATGTCTGCTTCCTGTGCTTTGGAAAGAAGCGGACCAACATCTTCGCTCGGCTCATTGAAGTCGGTCCAGTCTAGGGGTCAGACCGGCCTTCAGAGAGCCTGTAAATTCAGAGAGCCTTCAGAGAGCCTGTAAACTAAGGGTAGGGCAGGGATTAGCACGAAAGTATCCATTGCAGCTAATCACGATGCCCATTTCCCTCCTTATCTACCCACCTTCCACTCCACTGTCCCTCAGTACATGGGATCAGTGACAGGGAAGAAGTCCATGTGACAATGGAGGCAGAGATTAGAGGGACGCAGCTACAAGTCAGGGAGTGCCAAGTGTTGCCAGCAACCACTGGAAGTGAGGAGAAAGACCTGGAACATTCTCTCAGAGCTCCCAGGAGGAGCCAACCCTGCTGACACTTTGAGTTCAGACTTCCGGCCTCCTGAACTGTGAGACGATAAATTTCTGTTGTTTTCAGCCACCCAATTTGTGGTCATTTGTTACCACAAAGTAGTACAAGAGAAACTAATATCAGCCCAGAAAAATTAATTCAAGAGAAATAAAAATATATGCTCACAAAAAGATCTGTACACCGTGTTCATAGGAACA